TAAAGCTGAATAAGTTGATTATGATACCCTAGTTTCAATACATTGAAATGCAAAAACACAATTTCAGTGTTTCCTGAATTATCTAATTTTTGAAATGAAACTTCCTTATGCACCTTGGGAATAAAAATTCAAGGGCGCGTCACACGAGCTAGCGTCACGACATGCGTATCACGAGCTAGTGGTAACGAAAACTAACGATTGAGGAAGTGGTAAGTCAATTAAGAAGTTGAGATGGGTCTTTGGAACGTAGTAACGTGGGCCCTAAGTGAGCTAGGGGGCTGAAACTCGGAAAGCCCTTCGAGCTCGCTTTTTTCATGATATTTTGACGACGTTTCGTGCACTATGAAACAACATCAGTGGCGAAAAAAATGTCCGATTTAAATGAAATTTGTTATGTCGATAGATTGGACCAAGCCTAATTTGACCGTGTACGACACGTGTCACTGTGATAGTTAGTTTTGACATAAGAAACGTCAAAAGTTGATGTCTTCCGATCGCGACTGATCGCGACATATTTGGTGGGTAGGCTATGTGAGCGACGGTGCAGAGGGTCCCACCCTGCAAAGTTGGATATGATCGCTTACATCTTCATCAGGGTTGGACTTAGGATTTGATATTGTAGGAAAATGTGGGTCGATTTCGGTATATTTGGGGACGGGCTACAGGATGGTGCCTTCGGCGTTTCGAAAATTTTTTTCACCGTATTCTCTAGTTACGTTGATCCAAAGTTGGCCTTGGCAAGACGAAATGTTATGCTGGCTGTCATTACTTAAATTTTCGTTACTATTAACGTTTGGTTTTATTGTTTTTCAAATACTTTTTTGCGAAAAGTGAAACATGAATTGTGTACCTTCAGGTATGTAGAATAATATGATATTTTACTTAGTAGTATTTTAAAAATGCATATATAAACTTTTATTGGTTTTGTTTTCTATTGTTCAAAATGAAAAAAGAAAAAATTAAGCGTTCATTCGGTTAAGCATTTGGTACCCTATTAATGAGTATTAAGCTCAAAGCTTTTCACTGTCTTATTTATCAATGCTTAATCTTATTAACTGTGTTAAAATTGACTGCTAGTTTTTGCTAATCTGTTCAAAATAACAGATTTTTGGCTCTAAACGTAATGTGAAATCTACTTATATACGAGTAATTGAATGAACAGTTTCTTGCAAAAACAACCACTTGCATTAACATTTTTTTAAGGGACCGTTAGGTTAAGGGTCTTTTAAGTACCATTTTAATACTGATTGATGACCTGTACGTCACGTCAAATAACTGGCACCTTTAAATTTAATTGTCTTTTGGGACACTTAAAAAAATGTCTGTGTATACATATCAAGGCACACTTACTTACAGCTTTACAACCTCTAGGTCAAGAGACTCGACATTTTGCACAAAGTTTTCTTATACAAAGTACGCGAGCAATAAGAAAGAATTTTATAAAACTTGAATTTAAAGGGGTTGTAACTACCCTTTCAATATTGAAATATTTTTTATTTAAGAAACCACTGATTTCGCGACAAAATGCTTGAACACTTTTTTTTTATTTTTGTTTTTGATATACGAAAATATTTTTTTCCACAACGATTGTCCCATAGGTGGTGAATACAACCCCCTTTTCATCAAGCTGAAACCAATGGGAGTAAAAAGCTGAATTTTGGCTTACGTATAGATTGTTAGGTGTAGAGGTTCAATAAGTAGGGATTTTTCGAAATTGAAAAAAAAATGAAAATGAAAAACATAAGAACAATTTGCAAAAAATACATGTTTTGCAAAAACTACTGAATATTTTCTTCTAAATCTACTTCTTCTAATCTTTAATCCCCTCTATGCCTCTATATAAATGGACGAAATCGTCAGGATTTTTCTTAATTATGGGTCGATTGGAACCAAACTCGTGGATAGCACGTAGATAGAGGTACCCGAATGGATTCCTCAGACTGACAGACGGACAGACGGACAGTCGGAAGTAAGAAGTTTCACTTCAAATATGCGCACATAGTGCACACACCATTTTTTTGGCGTAATTTTTTTGCCTTAAAAATCTTATTTTTGTTATTAAAAACATTTAATAAACTCCAAGCGTTATGAACTGATACCTTACCTTTGTCCTTTACCAAGTTACTAACGAACATCATTTAATCTTTGTTTATATCTATAGATAGGTATATTATAATGACTAGTAAAGAAACATTTTGTCTATTAGCTCTAAAACAGAAAACAACTATAATTAATTACACTTATTAATTGCATTTATCTGTTTCTCTTATCGTTACAAGCAACAATTGTCTAGGTTTTTGCTTTCAAGTGAAATTTTTGGCAATAATCAATACACATTATAATTAACTATACTGCATAGATTTTCAACTGTTCTACAGGGTGGCTCAAAAAAGTTTGAGTGGATCGAAATGATTTTTTTAAATGGTAACTATTATTGCAGTTTGGCTTTCTTTTGGCTTTGCTACAAATATCGTAATCCTAAATCATACAGGGTATTCAAAATTATATGCCAAACTTTCTAAAATATAAAAAGATAAATACCTTTTCTTCGTTTTTTTAAATGGAACACGCTGTTTATTATTTCTTTGTTAGATGGAGAATTAAAAAATGAACCCTTTTTGTATTTCAAATTTTTTTTTGCGAATATTTGTGGTATTATATTGCATATGGTATTTTTAACAGTAATTTTTTATCAAAGCCATCCAATGATTTTTGTCTGGTAGGTATTTTACCGTTGAAAGAGCCATATTATGTAATAAATCCGCGAATATTTGCGAAACCGCTAAAATTTTTGAAATACTTTAAATACAAAAAATGTTCATTTTCTAATTCTCAATTTAACAAAGAAATATGCAATATATAGGGTGTTTCATTTGAAAAAAAAACAAGAAAATTTATTTTTTATTGTAAAAAGTTTGGCATAGAATTTTGAACACCCTGGTATGGCTCAAGATTGCGATATTTGTAGCAAAGTAAGTATAGACCCACTACTGTAAATACCTAATATAGTTTTGATTTCAGGACATCTATTGTATTTTTAATAATTTTTTTAAAAAAGACTTTAAAAAATAATTTTTTATTTATTTACTAATATCTTTTAAACTATCAAAACATACTAAGTAATATCTTAGGATTATGTAAAGTGATCAAAAAGAAAACCAAAAATACAGGGTGTTTCATTTAAAAACATCATCCCGATCCATTCCCACTTTTTACAACCACCCTATAGAAGTTATAATATTTTTCTGAAATACACTCTAATACATACTTTAGGTATGCACTTATACAAAATTCCTAACTTTGTTATTATAGGAGTTACAGATGGCCGACACATTATTGTCGGACCCTGTATATTGTATAGGTAATTGACAAACCAACGAGAGAAAAAAAAAACGCCTTTTTGAGCCAAACTGTTCCGTATTTTAAGGACATTTTTCCCATTTTTATTGCAGTTTACCGATCCGGATACCTTGGTTTTACCGAGTTTTACAAAGGAATCATAGACTAATGTCACGTACTAGAGATAGATTGGACACTGATATAAAACAAATGGGTCCGTCATTTAGAGCCACCTGGTGATCCGGAAGAAACTAATGGAAAGTTCTGGCATAACATAATTTTAGCGTTCCGTTACTTAATAACGCTAACTAAAACGGTAACGTTATTCAAGCGCAAAATTATTCCTTGTAAAATATAAAATAATAAATATAGACTTTTTTACTACATTATATGTTTTATTAGACCATTAGAAGTGTAACATAATTAAAACAAAATTAAAATTATGAATACATAATACATTTTAGACACCAACAATAGATCACATAGCACCTATTTTTTTTTGATTTAACAACTAAATTATAATATAGTAAAAAATATTATAGACTACTGTAACAGCCTTTTTTTCTAGAGAGCTATTACTAACGCCTATCAGTCGGGACGGTTTTGTTCTCGGGCGCCACCCCCAAAGTTTAAAGTGTTTGGGAGACCACCCCGGCCAATACGGGTAGCTTTTCTACAGTGGAGAATCCAGGGAAATGGGGTAAAAGCCAGTTAAAGTCGAATATATTCCATAACGAGGTTTATTTAAATAAATTAATTATGGATCCAATATCTTCAAATAAAGTAAAGTACAATTCAATTCAAATAAAATTAGTACTACAGCTTCATCAGTCGGGACGGTTTTTTTTAGCTACGGGTTTAGCTGCTTGTTGATCTTCCTCTTGACCAACCTCCACCAGCCCAGGATTCGGAGTGATTGGAACGGGATGGTATACATCTATATTTGCAGTCTTGTGATCGCACGCCGTGTGTCCCACATCTAGAACAGAACAAAATAAACTTTCTCTGACATACACCACGTAGATGTCCAGAGATTCCACATCGCCAGCAAACATTCTTCTCGACCGGAACTCGATCAAAGTTTTTAAGCAATACATCTTTGGGATTAGAAAACTTGTTAGTTGGACGTCTGTGGAACTCTTCTACAGGACTCGGTTTTATCGGAAGGCGACGGTCTTTAGAAGCGGTTGTTTGACATCGGTCTTTCCTCAACTTCTGGGTTGTTTGTTCAACACTTTTCTTCGGGTTTACTTGTAAATCTTCGGCTGAGCTCCGGATCTTTAAACTTGACATGACACTACAAGACGAGACCGGCGACTCTGCACTCACCAACTTAGCATTCAATCGGATCTGTCGGGTTCGTAAGTCAATCTGGAAATCATGCTTGGTCAGAATATCCATACCAATAATCATATCAGATACTAATTCTTCCAGACTATGAGAAACTTCATTCAGAGACTGACCACCTATTTGGATTTTTATCCTAAATGCTGTGCTAATGGATTCCGTGGCACCATTAGCAAGTCTCGCTCCTCTCACCGTGGGTTTGACAGGAACTGCCTTGGAACTTTGGCACTGTTCTGTCAATTTCTTTCCAATATAGGAATGGGCAGCTCCAGTATCCAGGAGTGCCAAATAGTCGGTATTTCGGTAGCAAATCTTCACAACAGGACGGACTTCTTGACGTAAGATTTCTGGTAATTCTTCGACGATCTCGGTTGGTGAATAGTAATTTGAGAGAAGGACGAAATATCGTGGAAATCCCCTCTCCTGGCATACTGGCGATACTCGGGCAATAAATTCCGATATAGCCACTGTAGTTCTTGACTCGTGGAAATATTGCCATGTCGGCAAATCAGTGTTTGCAGGTCAGTAATATAGGCGGTGACGAACTCATTCGGTTTCTGTACTCGACGACTGATCTTTGCCTCCAAGTCCACTTCATAATTTACAGGATAATAGAAAATTTTAAATTCCCTGGTGAAGTCTTCCCAGCTCCGGTAGTTACCTCGGTTATTTCGGTACCAGAGCGCCGCTTCTCCTTGTAAAACTTCAGGAAGTTGTGGCAACAACCGGTTTGGTTGTATGCTCTGCGCCGCGCAAATCTCTTCTAACTTCTCCAGAAAGGTTGCGGGATCGGACCGGCCATCAAATGTCACTCCCCATTTACGAACATCCAAGGGGCTAACATTTTGGCTTTGGTTCGGTCCAGGAGTCGGCGGTAATGGGTAGTTTAGCATGCAGAAGCAGTCCCTGCCTGTCCAAAGATTGTCCTCGCGGTTGATGTTGACATAGTCGTAGTGACGGTCGACGTCGTGAGGGTGTCAGTAGTGCTCACGGTCGGTATGGAGGTGCCATTTCCAGAAAAATCAAAAGGCTGCATTCTAGGTTGTGGGCTAACATGTCCGTCTCGAATAAACTTGACGACCCTCCTCCTCATTTCTTCCAATGTTCCGGTATTATTTAATTCAAACCGTGTCAGTTGTACGGCCAATTCTGATTTCTTTAACAAATAAATCCACCCCGTTCGAGAGTCATTATCGGTACTTGGACCAGGGGGTATTAGGGTCTGTATGGTAGGCATTGATCCAGCTTCACCAATGTCTTCGATATCATCAATCGAGTGATAATCTTCCTTGGTACTTATTCTGGTCAATCTTCTGGTCAATCTTCAACTTATTCTGGTCAATTGCCCCTGACGATATTACAGCTTGACAATTTTAGACTTTTTCTTCAGCCCCTCTCACACTGTTTCAGAACTTTTCAGGCTTAACTAGCTTTACCCGGTTTCTCCTCCTTTTAAACGGCTTCGGCTTTAAATCAATCAAGTCCCTGCTCGGGCGCCAATTTTGTAACAGTCTTTTTTCCTAGAGAGCTATTACTAACGCCTAACAGTCGTTCTTTTGGTTCTCAGGCGCCACCCCCAAAGTTTAAAGTGTTTGAGAGACCACCTCGGCCAATACGGGTAGCTTTTCTACAGTGGAGAATCCAGGGAAATGGGGTAAAAGCCAGTTAAGTCGAATATATTCCATAACGAGATTTATTTAATTAAATATGAAGAAATTACTAAAACATGAAATATCGCAAAATCTAACATAGAGAAATTAAATCAGTTAATTACAATAGCAAATAATTAAGTAATTAATTAATAAAATTAAATTAATTATGAATCCAATCTCTTCAAATAAATAAAATATGAAGAAAATACTAAAACATGAAATATTAAAATTTAACACAGAGAAATTAAATCAAAATTAATTCAATATTTTCAAATAAATAAAATAGAAAAATACTAGCAATACATATTCACATGCATCTTTAAATAAATCAGATATATAAGAAATATTATTATTATGGTAAAATAAAAGAGAAACCTTAATTAACTCCTCCTCCGTAAAGGAATTTTATACCATAAAAATAAAATAAAAAACTCTACTGTGCTGAAACTAAAATTTGTGATTACTAGAACTTTGATGGGGTATCTGGCGGTTACAAAAAAAAGAAAGAATGTGATTACCTCTTTTTTTTTAAGTAAATCCGCGTCGGATCAAACGAAACGGTCTGGTTTTCTGAATCGCTTACAGCAGCCCGGAATCCAGGCCCACTAATTATTCACGGTCAGGTATAAAGAAAACTTAAGAAAATCGGCGTCGGATCAAAACGAAACGGTCTGGTTGTCTATTCACGGTCAGGTATAAAAAACTTAAATGCTCGGTTTTTAACTATCTATACTCATAAATCAGAAATACGGTTTAGACTTATTTTAAATCAAATCTCTGCGACCACGATTTATACTTATTTAAAATCAAAAACGGATATACGATACTTTTACTTTAAAACTCAAGAATTCGGTTTTTACAGCAGCGCTGATAAAAAAACGGATCAGACTCGCGAGGTTTACTTAGAAAAGTTCACCGGTACTTAGTCTCAACAGGAAGAACCCCGTTTTCGCGCCCCCGTCGCTTAAATAATCTTTCCCGTCGGGAACCACGAACCACGTTTGGTTACCATCGTCCTACCTCCCATCAAGATTCCTTACAGTAAAAAAAACGGTTTTTACCCGTCGATCCTACAAAAAACCATTTGCTGTTTGTACCAACAAAAAAACTTCAACGTCTCCATGCAAATCGACGAAATATTTAACACAATTTTATCAGCAAACAATTTTTAATATTAAAAGTATTTTTCAGTTTTAGACTATCATAACAGTTCTAAAAATAGAAATAAACCATACTAAGCTTGTCTAAGAATTAATTGTTACCATAATCCTTCAAAACAAATGAACATGTCAAATTCTACTTATATACAGTATGGTTTATAAATCCACAAACGCTATCCGTCCTGGTGATCAAAAAAACAAATATTTAAACATTTACCATGAGAATATTAACGATAAAAAAAATAAAAAAAGTTAGGTCCCAAGGCAGGATAGAACCCGGGCCCTTCGGTGTACCAGCGAAGTACTTTCACGCCGCGCTATCGTGCCGTGTTTGATTTATGTTCACGCCTAGCATTTAACCGGTTAAATAAAAAAATATACGGACTTCATTACACTACTAATTAACTGTTACTAAAATACGATATATTACCAACTATGTACTTACCTCGGTACTTACTTATTTATGATTAAATTATTTTTTTTATTTGGTTCATAAATTTATCATTTCTAAAATGTCAAAATGACTTTAATAAAAAAGTTTAGTATCTGACACGAAAATGATGATCGATACACAAACACAAACACAAACTATAAACACAAATCACTGAAATCACTGAAATTTCCAATCACAGATCAGGAATATCTGAATTAATAATTATTTAAATAATGATTTAAAAATAACTTGACGGATCACCAACATTTTGTCAACTAGAATTAGACCATAGACAGCAGTTAACATAGAGACTGTCATGTCATCTTCATATATAAATTAGAAACCTGTACTTTAATATCTTTTCGACTCTTTTCGCCTTTATCTTTTCTTCCGTCTGGCGATGTGGAAGAAACTAAATTTGTAGTTCTATAAAATTACCATTGAGTGTCTAGGGCATGAAAGGAATACAGCTTAAAATAATTCTTGGTGTCAACAAAACTTCGTTTCCATAGTTATAGTGACAAGTTGATTTAAATAAAATACTAATTAACTACCATACACCAAAACGCTTACTATTAAATGGTTGTAATTACAAGAATAATTATAAAAGCAATTTGATTATAAAAAATATTGATGATTATAGAAAAAATGTAGTCTGTAACTCGCCTGCGATTAGTATCTAGAGCAATAGAGGATTTAGAATAGTTTTTTAATTTCATTGAGCCTCGAGTATTTAGGGGACTAGATACAAAAATAAAAACAACTTAAGGATTAAGGTATTGCGAAATGTATCATATAATAAAATATTAAAAATATTCCATCCCGTATCCAAAATAAACATTTTGCTGTTTTTCGGCATTTTAATTTTTTGGTTCATTGAATTATCTTGGAATATACTGAGTTCAATTAGCAAATTAGTAGCAATTTTTTGAAAGATATTTTAAACTAAATTTAAATGGAGATTAAGAAGTCAAAATGGCCAGGATGTTATCATAATAACACAACATTTATAACCTTTCCTGTCATATACAGGGTGTCCCAGAAATAAGTGCAAATATTTTAAGGGGTGGTAGATCTCGATAAAAGAAACATATTTTCTCTTTATCGTTTTTTAAATAAGTCCAAAATAACGGAGTTATTTTACTTTGAAAATTTCAAAAAAAAAGTATTTTTCGCTAAAATTTTGAGAACCCCTGGATCTTTTTTGGATTTTCTTTCTTGTAAATTTAATCAAATACCTATGTTTTCATATTATCAAGAAATTATGTTTTTTGACTAAAAACTAAACAAATTTCCAAAAAAAAATTCAAAAAATTTCGATTTTAGAATTTTTTTTTTCACGAAAAAAACCTCATAGGCGTGTTTCTGGGGTTGAACTATACTACCAGTTAAAATATTTGCACTTATTTCTGGGACACCCCGTATAGCGTGCTATACTTATGGCGTATATGCACTGAATATAGGTACATATATTACTATTTATGCACTGAAAGAAATGGTAACATACCTAGTAGAAAATAATTCTAAATTTTTTTGTTCCGTGTATGTTTTTTTGTTCTAGACTACATTTAATGTTTAACGAATTAATATATAAAATTGCTTTGAACTCTGAAGATAATAAAAGATACCCAATTCCACATGCTTTTAAACCACTTGCTTGGGGTCATCAAGATATTCCATTTTACCAGTGGAACCAGAGTGGAACGCAGATAATTGAAACCTCGATATTTTTTTAAATAATATAATATATATTTATTTTTAGTTTTAACATTTAGTATAAAACCCTCTAATGGTGTGAAACATCAGACTTACAATATAACATAAAGTGGAATTTGAAATATTTTTTGTTAAAAATTTTATTTTTTTATTAAGAATATTTTTACTAAAAAAATATTTGTTTTTAAATAAAAATAAGCTACATATGTATTGTTAATATTATAATACTTTAAAATTTTAAAATTTTAAAAGCGCCAAATAATATTTATTTCCCTCTTCCATTCACCCCAGTCTTTAACTCACATTTATTTAATAATATATAAAAAAGTACCATGATATCCAGGTACCCCTATCAGAGTGACCTCATTTTTGTTTTTGCAGAAAGTTCAGTTCTGCGTGGCTAGAGCCTTTATGCCAGTCTAAGATAACAATTTTTGATGTGACTTATTTGATGGTATAGAGTTTAGCTAGTTTTAGCTTGTACATAGTAGAAGAACTAGTCTTTACAATAAATCGTAAGATAACATTATTTGCATTGTGATACTAGGATTATTTTGAATTTCCAGCTCCATATATTACTAACCTATGCTAATTCTTATCAAAGAATATTATATTACGCAGTATAACATCAACTGTTAACAGGCATGACACTGTTACTGTTGCATCCAATAGGTATCATTGGTTATATCTACTGTTATAGGTAGAGTTGACTTGCAATTTCGAGTCGTCCGATTATTTAGTTGCAATACGGAAAACAATATTCATATGGAGCCGATTGGTCGACTTCGCGATACAAAGTTCGTTCCCTTATGCGATACAAAGATTCTAGTTAATTGTGTTATTAATATAAATTATTATATAAACCAATATTTATAGAGTTTTAACTAATGGATGAAATAATTTTTCTAAACAAAATTTTCGATGCCGCTTAA